TATAATATTATTAATCTATTAACTATATATTATATAATATTAAATTTTTCAATGCTATATATAAGTAATTTTATGTCAAGAATTAAAACTCGTTGAAACCCATGCAATTTAAATAAAGTCATCATCACCATCATATATGAGATTATTTTATTGAGATTGCATGGATTTTTCAGCGAGTTCCCATACAGCACACAAAGATTGCATACATATTGTAGCAATCTTTCACCGCAATATTGCAACTTTGCAAATTTACTGCAAAATGTTGCTGCATCATTGCTGTGGAATTGCAGCAATGATAAAATGTCCGCTTTCAGGAATATTGCAACAAAATATTATAGCAACATTGCAATGTAATGAATTTGCAATGATGTATATATATTTATTTTTGGGTATACAAATGTGTAATTAATGACGATACATTGTAATTAAATGTCTTTATTTGTACTTATGTTAACGTTATAAATAACATAACATTGCACATAACATATTATTGCACTCAACATGTTCACGAAATAAAAATATATTTTTTTTTATATTAGAGAAATATATAAAAATGGTTCAGCTTTACGAGCCGCTTTTATTACCACTAATAATTTATTGAATTTTGTCCATTATTGTTTTCCTTTGTTAAATGTCTGTAAAAATAAAATAGGAGTTAAAATTCATATTTGCATAAAAATATACATACTGCAAATATACATAAATATTTTTATCAAATATTTTAAAGTTCATATCTACAGCAAAATAGAAAATTAGAGAAAGCAAAAAATATCCACATAAAAAATATACGAACATATATCATAGATAAATATAATTTTTACTTTTGCGATCTCAATAATTTTAAGGTTATTAACCTAGGTTATTAACCTTAGGACATGCTATTCTATTATGATTAATTAATACATAATATATATAGGTTGCTATAATAAAACATAATATTATCAAAAAGTTCTTACCTTTTCTCGTACGCAACAATAAAAAATGTTAATCACGAAATACACGACAATCACAGATATGTGCAGCAAGACCGGCGCCTACTACACACGCACACAATTGCGAACGCGTACATGTGCTGCGCAAAGCATACAGTGCAGCAATATAAGCCAATTTAAGAAAAATGTTTTAATAAAATGAACCATTTAGTATTGTTTATCGTTAACATCTTTCATGTAGAAATATTGCAAAAAATTATTTTATTATAATATTTTATTAT